TCTGGGGGAACTGTCCATGTATCACTCAGCAGAGTTGCTCTGGAGATGTATCAGGTTCCCTCCCTCTTTCTGGAAATTGTAAAAGCCGCGCCCACCACCCTCTTCCTCCCTGGCCCCCTCTCTGTGGAAGTGGCCTCTCTTGCCATCACCCCCATGAGAAGAAATGGCGGAAACAAGACACAATCCCTGTGACTGATGGGCTGCCTAGGAGACAGGAGGCTACCTGAGGACCAGAGAGGAACGCTGTACCCTCATCACTTTCAGGAGTCATTCATCTCAATCTCCTTGGGTGGGAGCCCTGTGGATCTGGGGCCAGCACCCTGGAGAATGAATTTTCCGATGCATCTCTTAGCCCATTTACATGTCATCCCTCCAGGTGACAGGGGAATAGGGGAAGGGGCCTCCTGTAAGGACCTTCCAAGGAAGGAGGAGCTGATGTTTCCTGCAGAGAGAACTGGCCCCTCCATCCTGGCCAGCCCACGGCCACCTCCCTGGGAGCCAGAGCTCAGCTGTAGACCCTGAGTCACTTCATCCAGAGCTGGAGAAACTGTAGGGGATGGAGGGAGAGAGGGACGGGCTTGCAGAAGAATGCATGCATAACAGTTACCCAACAAATCAGGGATGCTGGCCCTTCTCCCTCCACTCACTAGGAAAGTCAGGCTCAGAGGCGAATCCTGGCCCAAGATCACCTGCTCAGCGGCGGAGCTGGGACTATGGCTGACACTGCCTCACCACACTTTCCATCTGGCTGGCACGGGTCTCAAACTCACCTGCCTACGAGGGCCAGCCTGCTGGTGTGAATCAGGGACCCCAGCCACGGGGAGAGGCCGGAAAGGGCCAGACTGGGGGTATTATCTCACTGAAAGTCACTCACATTTACAGTATATATAGATGCCCTTCAATTCCATACAGGCTAGGCCATTTCACCCCGAGCTAAACCCCTGCTCCCTGGGAGAACACGGCAGCTCATATTTCAGCAGAACACACATGTCTCCACTGTGAGAGTGGATGTGGCAGCAGGGCGGGCAGGCGTGGGGAAGACACCCGCCACACTTTCTCTGCCAGTCCAGCTGGGGATCTGTGCAGTGACCTACATTACTCTCCCTCCACCCCCGGACACTCTCTCCCCTCAAGAATGGCAGAACACGATCCATTTCCCAGGCATCGGTCCCCCCCAGCCTCCCCCCATGGAGAAAGCCCGTTTTATTAACACGCTGAATGACAGCATGGCAAATCATTCCAGCCCTCACTGATTTGTGGGCCAGTCCCCAGCACGAGTTCTTGGAACCAAGCCTCCCTTCATTATGGTGCTTTCAAAAGCACACCGGACATTTCCCTCAGTGCCTGCTCCCATCTGCCACGTGGCACGTCTCCGTGGACACCTTCCTCCGGAACGCCAGGGCAACGCAAAGAAGATGGGGCTCCCCGAAGAAGAAGGTGTTAGGGGCCTGCCATCCACCCACTCCCCATTGTGGTGGGCGGACGCTGGTCCCCACCTGGGCCACACTGATGGACAGAGTTCAAAATGGAAAAGAAGCAGCCGCTTCCTACTGGCCTACTTTCCAGGGCAGACTGCGGCTGGTGTGAGCAAGAAGGCAATGGGAGGCAGAGAGATTTGGAGAAAAAATTCAACCTGCTGATTCTTCAACAGATCTGTGCAGCTGGCACAATACGGGGAAGTCCTGGTGCCCCTTGCAGAACAGAAGAAATACTGACACAGAAAAAAATGAGCTGGAAGGTGTGTGCAAAGGCAAATCCATCTAAGATTGAACTCTAGGCTGCACAGCCTGAAAGTTTTAAGGAATATTTATGAAAAAAGAAAATCAAAACAACCCACACACCACCACAGGAAACTCGACCACAGGCTTCTCTCCCCGGCCCATCTCCCCCTCTCACCACAAACTGGACAGGGAACAGCTTTCCTGAAGGTAGCAGTGGACGAGCTCACAGAACATGCGAGGGAGCACAAGGGTGAGCCAAGTGCATCATGGGGAACATGCACAGTCTGGGCCTCACATCAAACCCTGCAGGAGAGACGTCTGCGCAGTGCGTAAGAGGAGGGCTGCAGGCAATGTGACTGAGTGATGACTCACAAGGAAGGCTCTGCTCTGAGTCCAATGGTCAGGGTGGGCTATGAGGAGACAGGGTAGCACTGTCAGGCGGGGCTGTGGCCAGTGGGGTGGAGTGGGAATGGCCATGGGTATTTGTTGCCTCAGCTGGCAGAACACTGCACCACACAGTAACTTGGCTAAGCACCTGGCATTACTCCTCACAGCTCTGGAGGCTGATGTCTGAGGTCATGGTGCTGCTGAGCCGGGTCCAGGAGAAGGGGGCAGCCTTCCCTGCTTGCAGGCAGCTGCCTGGCACTGTGCCCTCACGTCTCCTCCTCCTCTCACTGGGCACTATGGCAGCATGCCCCGTCACCGCAAAAGACCCCAAATGCCATCCGGTGGAGGGCAGGACTGCAACATATGAATGGGAGGGGTGCACAAACACCCACTCCATAACAAAGCGTGACCAATTCTCATTTTCAAGAGGAGCTTGATATTTGATTTTTAAAAATCTGATACCTAATGTTTGCTGTTGGCAATATTTCAATTAAGAAAAACAAATAACAAAACCCTACTGGACTGGTCGAATAAAGCAGGTCCAAGGGCCAGGCTCAATCCACAGGTTGTGGGCTTGTCACCCAGACCCCAAAACGTGGGCCCTGGCACCAAATGGCGCAGGCTGCCATGTGCAGGTGAGTGACCCTGGGGACAGACAGGTCACCCTCAGTGCCTCACTGTCCTCACCGGTACTAACTGGAATTTTATGAAGTTGTCCTCTGATTGACAACATTGTAAGGTCCCACCTAAGGAGATGGAGACACAGTGCCCACCGGGTCGGCCCTCAGGGAGACCAGGCAGGCCAACGTTCAGCCAGTGCCCACAGCACGTGCCCACCGGACGCAGGTGTGGAGGGAGCGGCACATGCCCCGTAAACATGACCATGCGTGTTCAGTAGCTACAGCCGATCTTTAGAGTCCTGAGTCACCCTTTGAAAGAGCTGAGGAAATCTGTCAAGATCTATTTCTTTTTAAATGCTTTTCCAGGTTTATTTCCTTAGCCAAGGGAGATTTTATAAAACTGGAGCTCTCTTAGGATAAGGTCTGGCACTGAAGTAGTCTCACTGGTGTTCGGGGTGCACATACCGGAAATGGTCATGCGGCAGTTCACCCGCTCCCCTCCCGTTCCCCCACGTGAAGCAGTCTGCACATCCCCCTGTAACCCCCTCGCTCAAAAAGACAGAGGCGGAGAGGAGTGCTTGCCTTGGAACTGCGAGGAAAGCCACCAGGGAAATGCTGTGTAATTCATCTGGGTCCCAGCCCAGAGCAACGTTCAGCCAGAAATCTGATGTCAATATTGTGTCATTTGCCACAATCCCCGACTGAACCCTTTGTTAAAGCCTGTGAAACTGAACCTGCATTTCCTGTGCCAGTCAGGCACAGAAGGTTCTCTCCTGCCTCTGATTAATGGCACTAGCGGGCTGAGGCTGCGCCTCTCACCGAGACGCTCTCATTAGCACACGATTTTCACAACTCTGCCGGCCCATGTCTGCTAATGCCAGGCGCGACCACAGATGCGGGCCGTGCCAGCGGGAAGGCCACCCCGTGCCTGTGCGGGGCAGTGTTTTCTCCTCAGCATCAGGGCCTAAGGACCAACGCTCTGACTCGATGTTCCGCAGGGAATGTAGCCAAGTGCACAGGACTCGGGCAGAGGCTAACTTCCAGCACACACCATGGGCCGGGCCGCCTTTCTGAGGGCAGGACGCCTCCGTGAGCTAGGGCGGCACTTTCAAAGCAGCGAGCTCCGGCCTTGGCATCTCAGGTACCCAGTGGGTTCTACTTGGAAGGCAGGGGCATCTTCCATCACAGGCGGCATGACACACTCACACCTCCACACAAAACCCCAAGACAATTAGAAAATGTCAGCAGCCAGCGTGGCTACAATTTCAAAGGCCCCATGCAGGGAAGAGGGGCGGTGCTGGAAATTCACCTTGGAAATGTTGGGAAGGGCGCCCCCAAAACAGCACCCCCACCTTCAGAAGCAGAAACAGGCCCCCTGTTATGTGACGGCCGCACTGTTAGAACGGATCAGGTCCCACCATGGAGAGAGCTTAGAAGAAAGGAAACCTGTTTATCCCAGCAGACACAGACTCTGGCCAGTGCTTCTCAATGATAAAGCCCACTCCCGTTCGGGAAGCCACAGCCTTGCTATTGTTTCCATTTCGATGATAACATGTTAGAAGGAATGAAACTACATTCACCATCTAAAGACGGAATAACAAGGGCTGCTTCACCGCTCCAGATCTCCAGATCCAAGGAGAATGTCTCAGGTTGGAGGAGACTTGCCAGGACAAGGAGAACTCACCGTGACAGCCACCTGCTTCAAGGTGCCGCACAAGCAGGTGTTTCCAGGCCCTGTGACCCGAGAACCACGGGGAGGAAGAGGTCAGCGGGCAGGCACTTGTGTGGCACACGCAAAGACAAGACCTGCCACCTGCCTCTGTGAGTTGCGACCATCCTGTAAGGGTTTAACTTGTAAGCATCCTTAACTTCTTACTCTTTCAAGGAGGTGTAAGAATAAGGAATTTATATTAATTCTAAGTCTGCCCATACATAAGCAACGTTAATATGAAAACCACATAAGCCTGAGAACTCTCCTTGGGTTCACTCCCCGAGCTGAGAGTCTGACCTCCTTTGGGCTGCAGGGAGCGTGAATGCCCCTGTGCTCGCAATCTATGCACGTAGGAAACCACATGGCCCTGCACTCATTTGCAGACTCAAATCCAATGGCTCCTTTACAGACTTTCACGAGCCCCTCGGGAACTCCAAAGCCCATGGCCCGAGTCTCCCTGTTGGCGCCTGGGCCCAGGGTGTCTAGGACACAGGCTGCTTGCTGCCAGCCACGGAAAAGGGAAGGACGGGCCGGCCGAGCGCGTCCCATGATGGTACTCACACGAAGAAGGGCATCAGCTGAACCAGGGTCTCCTTCTTGGGGCTGGCGGCAAACTCGGGGACGGCCTGGATGACTTTGTTCATGACGCTGCGCAGGTAGCTCTGCAGCTGCTTCCTCCGCTCCTCTACGAACTTGGCGTCCTGGGGAGACAGACAGGTGCTCCGTCAAGCCTCCTCGCCTACCCACTCCCACAGCACACACCGGGCCCTCGCCGCCAGACAGCTCATATTTATCGAGTGATCACACATGCAAAGGGCGTCTCAGGCTTTACACGTGTGATCATTTAATGAAAGGGACGATGCTCATGAAATTAGGTGTGGGCGCAGGCCCAGCGAACTCCCTCAGTGTGTTCCCAGAACCCAATGAAGTCTCAGCAGCTCTAGACTCTGTTACCGAGTGCCCAACATGTGCCAGATGTGGTGCCAGGGACTCAGGGTGCACCAGCAAACCCACAGTGTGACCCTGGTGGAGTCCCAGGCCAGTGGGGGTGGAGGTGGGGACACACACACAGATAAAACCGGTGACCACACAAGTCAGTGTGTAATTGTTAATCACACCAAGTGGCACCCTGGAGAGAGGGTGCTTAATTTTGCCTTCACAGGAATTTTCCTGAATAAAAACTTATTACCACTATTTAACAGATTTCACTGATAAACAAATTCCACCTTCTCTTGAAAAGCCGGGAGACATGACAGCACAGTCCTCCCTAGTGTGGCCCCCACAGGCGCAGGCCCGGGCCATCCCCTCACTGCTCTGGATCCCTGCTCATCCCCCCATACGCCCCGCCCCCACACCCGGCCAGCTTCCCAGGCGTGCGCCCCTGCTGTCTCTCGGGGTCAGAACTTGGATCTGTGTCATCATCTGCTGTCCCTGTCTTGAAATTCTTAATAATCTTAGAACATGGGGCCCCTTAGATTCTGTAGCCCATCCTGCAGCGAGGGGCAGGGAAGGCTTTCTCCAGCGAGGCTCCCACTACACCGGAGGCCAAGGCGGGCAAGACAGAGCAGAGGGAGGCCACAGGGCAGGGTCGCTCATCCCAAAGAGGAAGAGCACACTCTGATGACTCTCCATGTCAAGCAAGGAAACTGCGGCTGAGAGAGGACCGGGCGGCGCATCCACAGGTCCCACAGATGGACCGGGGCCTCACCCGCCCCACACCCTGGGTCAGCACAGAGCCAGCCCCGCCCAGGATGGCCTGGTCTCTGAGAGCGCCCCAAGGCCCTGCCAAGGACTCCAGTATGGCAGGGAGATGCTTTAAGAAGTGCCAGGTTTAGCAAATAAAGACACAGAATGCCCAGTGAAATGTGAATTATTGTACAATAAGCAGTGAGTCCTTTTTCAGTTTTCATAATTCAATATTCAATAATTCATAATTCAATAAATTGTCATTATTCCACTGTGCACCACACAATAAAACCTTTCCATGCACTATTTGGGACACACTGAAACCAGGGAATTATTCATTGTTTATCTGAGATGAAAATGTAACTGGCTGCCCTGCATTCACCTGGCCGCCCCTGAGCACAGGCGGGAGGAAGAACGCAGGGCAAGAGCCAGGCCCCTTGGAGGCCACAGCAAGGCCTCCAGCCCAGAGCAAAGAAATATAGCGGTGGGGATGCACACAGAACGGCAGCAGGCCACGGACAGCGAGGGGGGCTGGTCCTTCAGACACCCCATTTGTCACAGGGGCTCCGAAGGAGAGCAACATCGGGGTAGGAACCTGTCCTGCTGGGTGGCGTGCAGTGCCGAGAGAGCCATGGGTGTTCGTGAGATGTTTGCTTGGGCTCCTGGGGCTGCAGTGAAATGGCACAGGAAGTGATGGAACTGAGGAAGCCCGGCTCGGGGGACCTGCCAGGCCCTCTGTGACCGCTTAGAGGCCCTCGCTGCCATGGCCTGCTGCCATTCTGTGCGCATCCCCACACAATACTTCTGTCCGTTATGGTTTACAGGTAGGAACGGAGAGCACCGGGAGTGAGTCTTCTCCTTACAAAACGACATTCAGGGCTATTTTAATGGAAGCATTTTTCCTCCCCTCTAAAATGTTAATTTTATTTTGAGCCTCAAGAATATAAAGACACCATCATATTAAGAATAACTATTTTTGAAACAGCAGGGTTTTGTGAAAGCTATGGTTTCTAGGACAAGTGCCCAGACGCTGGCCCCTGCACTATTACAACTTTTTTGTCCAGCCCAGGGCATCTTCTCAACCACGTGCCCCCTCTCCAAGGGGCCTCCCCAGGAGCTGCCCTTCACTTGAGCTGCAGGTGGGCACAGGGACCGCATCCCCAGACGTCCTCCTTTCATCTAAGAAAAACGTGGTTTTCCTAAAACAAGTAGAAGGCCGCCCCCCTCCTTCAGGAGCAGCAAGCAGCTTGGCCCTGAGGAGAGACTGCAGCTTAGGAGTCAGCGGATGGCTAGAGCATCTGGAACGCTGGTGAGGACCCAGGAGCCAGGCATTAAGGCCCTCTGGCTATGAGATTCCCTCCCATGCCCAGTTCTGATGAGACTGGGCACAAAGGAAGACGAGATTTCCCAGTGTCTGCAGTGGGATGGGAGCCACAAACCAGGCGCGGCCAGCTCGACCTGAGTGGGGGTGAGGCAGCCACGCCAAGGAACATGCTCAGAAACCCCTTCCCTCCCCAGCAACGTGTGGAGGCCACATGTGGAGAAGGCAGAACCACTGGAAAGAAGGAGGGTGACCAAAGGCACCGGTCTGCCTGGGGCTGTGGCATGAATGAGAAGTGCCTCCAGGGCTGACAGCCAAGTCCATGTTTACTCCACTGCGTGAGAGGCACTTGTGCTAATTATGCTGATACACAGCTGCTCACTCAGTGTGGCTGCACGTGCCTGCCCTGTGCACACAGCAAGCCTGAGGGAATGCACTCGGCAGAGGATACAGCCCCGTCTGCAGGAGCAGAGCCCAGCAGAGAGAGGAGACAAAAGCAGGGCAGGGACACAAAGTGACCAGTGCTCGGGCAGAGTGAGTGTGGGCGAACCTGAGGAGGGAGGAGACTCGGCCTGGGAGGCGATCCTGTGGAGCAGGCGTCTTCAAACTGCGACCCGCAGAGGAGTCTGATCCGGCCCGCCAGGTTTTTTGGGCAGTGAGCGCAGCCGAGGTGTTACAGTAGGAATTAGTAGTTCATATAGTCCGGCCCTCCAGCTCTCTGAGGGACCGTGATCTGGCCCCCACTTTAAAAAGTTTGAGGACCCCTGCTGTGGAGGGTGAGGCCTGCAGGCGGAGGGGCAGGAAATACACAGAATAAACCCAACATGGGTTAAAGACCTAACTGTAAGACTGGAAACCACAAAAATCCCAGAAGGAAACACGGACAGTAAAATCTCGGACATTTCTTGTAGCAATATTTTTTCTGATATGTCTCCTTGGGCAGGGAGTCAAAAGGGATTACATCAAGCTAAACAACTTGAAAAGATAACCCACTGCCCAGGAGAACATATTTGCCAATGATACATCTGATAAGGGGTTAATATTCAAAATTTATAAAGAACTCAACAACACAAAACCCCCAAACAACCTAATTAAAAAATGGGCAAAGGACCTGAATAGACATTTCTCCAAAGGGAACACACAGATGCCCAACAGACATATGAAAAGATGCTCAATGTCCCTAACCCTCAGAGAGATGCAAATTACAACCATAATGAGGTGTCACCTTACACCTGTCATCAACAAATCAACAATCAGTGTTGGTGAGGATGGAGAAAAGGGAACCCCCATGCACTGCTGGTGGAATGCAGGTTGGTGCAGCCACTGTGGAAAACAGTTTGGAGTTTCCTCAAATAATTAAAAATGGAACTGCCTTAGGATCCAGCAATTCCACTTCTGAGAGGATGTCCAAAGAAACCTGAAACATTATTTCAAAAAAATATATGCACCCTTATGTTCATTGCAGCATTATTTACAACTAGTAGCCCTGCACACAAATCCGTGTGCCAGTAGGTCGCTGCTGCCCTCCTGTAGCCCCCCCCCCCCCACCCACCTGCTCCCCCTTTATAGCTTGTGTCTCTGCCCCCTCCTGTAGCTCTCTGCCTGCTGCCCCTCCCTCCTGTAGTTCCCCCAGCTCCCCTTCTCCCTCCCTTCTCCCCCGCTGCCTCACGGCCCTGCAGATCTGTGATCTGGTGGTCATTATGTGGTTGGTCATTAAGCCTCAGGGCATAATGGATAATTAGAAATATTCCTCTCTTATTATACAGGATAGCCAAGATCTGTAAGGAGCCCAAGTGCCCAACAGTAGAAGAGTGGATTAAAAAGCTGTGGCAGCCTGGCCAGTGTAACTCAGTGGTTGAATTTCCCCCCTCTGTTTTGTGTAGAACAAACTGTGTGGTTGAAGGCAAAGAAACCATGACCCCCACCTTCCTAATGGGGAACAGAAAGTTTCACAGCACTGAAAAAATCTTCCCAAGAGTGGCACTGATAGCAGCAGCAGGAATGATCCTATCTAATAAAAAAGTGATATGCAAATTGACCATCACTCCAACACACAAGATGGCTGCCTTCATGTGGGCACAAGATGGCTGCCACAAGATGGCCAGCAGGGGAAGGCAGTTGGGAGGATCAGGCCAGCAGGGGAAGGCAATTGGAAAGGACCAGGCCTGCAAGGGAGGACCGTTGGGGGCAAGCAAGTCTGCAGGGGGGGGGGGGGGGCCAGTTAGGGGTGATCAGGTTGGCAGAGGAGGGAAATTGGGGCCAACCAGGCCTGCAGAGAAGGGCAGTTAGATATGACCAGGCCTGAAGGGGAGGACAGTTAGGGGTGACCAGGCCTGCAGGGGAGGGCAGTTAGAGGCAATCAGGCTGGCAGGGGAGCAGTTAGGCATCAATCAGGCTGGCAGGGGAGTGGTTAGGGGGTGATCAGGCTGGCAGGCAGGAGTAGTTAGGGGCAATCAGAAAGGCAGGTAGGCGAGCAGTTGGGAGCCAGCAGTCCTGAATTGTGAGAAGGATTTCTGACTGTCCGTTTAGGTCCAATCCTACTGGGATCTGGCCTAACTGGGCAGTCAGACATCCCTCAAGGGGTCCCAGATTGAAGAGGGTGCAGGCTGGGCTGAGGGACATCTCCTACCCCCCCCCTCCATGCACAAATTTTGTGCACTGGGCCTCTAGTAGTAAAATAATGATGCTAACCAT